GCGTGGGTCATCGTGGCTTGACGATTACTCATTTGTTATTTAGATGGACTCCTTGGTGCACCACGTAGAATAATGTAGGTTAATAGCCCAGACACCAAGTTACGCGAGGAACGCTTGTGCTATTCCATAAAACCAGTCAAACCCTACCGAACACAATAAATACGTTTAGAGTTTGAATCGGTTGGCATGTAGTCTAATTCACTCATAAAATTCAGGCCACTTGAACGGTAACGGTGGGCATGTAAGTTTATTTTTAGCGTCAAGGCATCTCCGCCCTTGCCTCAGTTCCATTGCCATTTTTCCGTATTACACTTTTACTTATCGATTATGTTCGCTAGTAGGGTCGTAAAATCACTTTTTGCCTAGGAGGGACACACAACCATTCATTACCACTACCTACTTAGGCAATTCATCCACCTTTAATTAATTAATTAATAGCTACCGTCACTCATAAAAGCGCTCCCCAGTTCTGGAGTTGCTCTCCCTCGTCTCTATCTTTACCCAGAGCAATCCGGGTACTCTTGCGCTTGACATTATTACTATCATTATGTTCAGTACGCAGACTTCAATGATAACTGTACCACAAAATGTCCATGCAGCTCAAGATTCGGACCCCGGCTTTTAGGTCAAAAGACTTTACAAAGTAGAGTAATTAGTAGGGAAACTCCAGTTAAAAACAAGCGAAGCAGCTTGATACACACGAACCGCTATAGTGTACCATCCCAACCCATCGATGGCCGGGCACAAAAATGCTGAGTCAGGAACAGTGGAAGGAAGCACGGAAGTAAATGAAACAGCCTGTGATCAAACTTTCATCGAAAAGTAAAACCTAAAGATAAGGTAATTAAGGATGATGACCACAGATTCTGCAAATGTTGGGCCGTCATGCCACCAAACTTCATTGGCTTTTAGTAGATCGTTCGGAAAATAGTGGCCGATGTTTCGACCCGCCCTTACACATTGGAAACTTATTTTTTGCAGTGTTTTATACGAAATTTTGAGAAGCCCTTTAATACGTCTCCCCTAATTTCCGTCAATGCATACAATTTTAAAGAATATACACCCTTAACAACGAAGAAAACAAATGCATTCAATTTCCCTGCACGATCGCAATGCTTCCCAAACAGCCGCCAGGAGAGGACAGGGGAAGGGTCCAAAAGTACGGGGACTGGTTTCAGAGATTCCAGAGTGGCAATGAGAGTCTTGATGATGAAGAACGTAGAGGAGGACCATGCCTTACTGGCAATAAACTTTTAGAAGAAGAAGATGCAAGCACTGAAACAAAAAAATATTTTCCTGACCTTTCGGATCCTGTCGAGAATCTTTATTCATAGGTAACCGTAGGATAGTGTGAGACATGCGCAGATAAGGGTGATATATGCACAAATTGCATGTTATTTATAGCTCGTAGAGTTCATCCGCATGCGTACTATAATTATCAGTTGCTGTAACCACCGCTTGGAATATCAATTGGTGCGGTGATGGCTTGACATTTTGCTTTCGACTCATTAATTGCCGCGATTTCGTTGTCCGTGTCGGATGCGGACTTCATAATTGCGCTGTCATCAGAGTTGTTGCTGGACCCGGCAGTTATATATATTGCAGACAGGGTATGACTGATTGACAACGGTTGAGGAGACAGTGAGTGTTATCCCGCTCTTCCGTGCTTCCGTCAATACAACCCTATCTAGAGAGTATATA